GAGATAATGTTGATCTGCCTGGCTGAAAACCATTTTGATTATTTCTCAACACTTTGTTGTAAATTTTTGCTGATGTAGCCGACAAACTGATTCCTCTATAGTTAGTTGCATAACCAAGGTCTCCCTTTTTTGGTAGTGAAAAAAAGTGGTTGTGGCTCTAATAATTGGGATAGATGGTTATGAAGTCATGCTGATGTGACACCACAAGCTGCCCCTCCCCACCTGTAGCAACATGCTTGGGTCGAGTAAGGTAAGCTACGGTGCGGATGTGGTTTCCCTCAGCTGTGAACATGTCCACTCGGCTGTTCCTACTATCAGCCACAATCACACGCCCCGAACTGTCCACACAGATTCCTTGGGGGAAATAAAGATTTCCTGCTCCGGTACCTCTACTACCAAAACTGGACAGGTAGACTCCGTTCTTGTCATACTTTTCTACATGATGTTCACGGCTGTCTGCGATAAAGATGTTCCCTTTCTTGTCCACGGTGACATGCCGTGGTAGAGTTGTGTGCTTACTTGATCCAAACCCGGTCATGTCACACGTCAGCCATGGTGTTGCCTCTGTCTGTGTGTAAGTAGGACTGAACCATGCAGTGCTGAAATGTGCTGACGGTTTATACAGACTGAGTATGATTCTGCCAGAAAGCTTGTGCCAGGCAATGCTACGAAATCTAGTGTCACTGCATTTAAACTTAGTAAGGACACTGCCTTCTTTGCTGTACTGTTGAATGGCATGTCCATATTTAAACCACGAACGTGAGTACGATGCGACCCACAGGGTGTCGTTGTGGCCCATGCACATGGCACGAGGTTTCATGTTTCCTGTGGGGAAACTGCGAAGGAAAACTCCCTTTATGCTGAAGACCTTAATTATTTTGTTCCCGTCAGCCACAAATATCTCGTTAGTCGAGGACACGGCCAGGCCACTCAGTGACGCATACTTAAACTGCCCAGGGGGGCCTTTTCCATACGTGCCAAAGGTGACATTCTTTTTCACTTCTGTTGGTGAAACAGAGTAAAACACTTAGTTTAGGCACCACGTTTTAGACTATAACATATAGGAACTTAATTAAGGTAGATCAATAGATGGATCAATAGATAGACAGACAGATAGATACTATTAGATGGATTTCAAGATAGATAGTAATTATAAGACATCCATGTATACTCTATCAGATGAATAGTAGTATTACAGTAACTTCATAAATATGATATAATTTCATATCAAGCATGACCATTTTGAAAGTTTAGCACTTCAAAATTAGGAAAAGTTTAGATAGTTAGATAAACTATCGTTTTGAGATGAAGATACATGTATGTGAAACAACATTTCTCCACTAATAATTGGCCACAGTTGTTTTGGTACAGGTTCTGAACCTTAACCACTGTACAGATAATGTTTAAGTGCTACCAGAAGAAGATATTTGTACCCACCTTCACAGTGGTATGTTAATTCCAGGTACGTACTTCTGCCCGTACATGTGCCATAATGGTCCATATCATCCATGTACTTGTCACACTGCTGTAACCCCTGACATAGCCCCCTTACGAGGGACAGCATTTTGAATTTTAGCCTGTTACAAAATACAACAAGAATTATAAAAGAGGGCCTGCATGCCCTTTTTCGTTAACCGTTATGGGCTATTTTAATTTACCGTTAATCGTTACCGGCCCGCTCTAATTCAACGTTAAGCGTTATCAGTATATTCCTCGTGAAGCGTTATGAATCGTTTTAATTCAACGTAAAACGTTATTTGCCATCCTAAATTCAGCGTTAAGCGTTAATGAATAATTCTTCGTTACGCCTAATTTTGCCATGCGTCATTGAATGTTTAAAAATACAAAATTTCCCGGGGGAGAATGCCCCCGGACCCCCCTACATTGCTCGCGCCTTTGGCGCTCGACTCACGCTTCTGCGCTCAGTCCCTTCGGCTCTAGCCAGAACCAGTTTCCCTTCAATTTTCGGAAGTTTGCGGAGAGTTACAGAATTTTTTTAACGAATCCGTCAACCTTGACAGGCAAATTAACAAAAATCTTGAGTAAAATATGAAAACATCAAGACCTCTCAAAATGCGGGAAATTGCGTTTTTGAAGGCTTAAAAATCCTAAATTTCCCGGGGGAGCATTCCCCGGACCCCCCTAGATTACGAGCGCCTTCGGCGCTCCCCTCTCAAAATCCATCGGTAAAACTGGGCAGACTGAAAAAATGCGAGCTGGCCGACGTCCACTCGGACACCCCGGTATTTGTGGACGCACTCGGGGACCAGGGCAGGCGGGAAACACAGGGAACACATACCTTTAACTTAATGCATGCTTCATTACTGTGCATGTATACGTAATTTTGTCAGTGATCACCTTTTCTCACAAAGCGAGATACCAAATCCAGTGCAGCTCTAAAAAAAGCCTGTCAATTTACCGTTAAGCGTTGCCGACCGTTCTGAATTTACCGTTAAGCGTTATCGGCCCTGCTGAATTTACCGTTAACCGTTGCCAGGACCCCCCATGCAGACCCTCATAAAACAGAGATTGTAATTGAATTAAGTTAATTTTAATCACATTGACATGTATGAATGGGTTTAGGAATATGTAAAAATCAGACAGCTGTGAATTTTACAAAATTATATCATACACAATTTTCTGCAAAATCTGTAACAGTTATCGTACAAGACATCTCAAGTACAACTATGTACAGTCATTGTGTTATAAATGTACAACTTATGTACATGCCAAATAGCAAGGGAAAGAGAAAAAAATTACAGGACAAACGCTTGATATAAAGTTACAAGGAAATTAATTGTTTTAGCAACAGTTCGATTACTCCATCCATGAAGAAAGAATATCAGTTGTTACGACTTAAGATTGATAGTCACCATTAAGCTTCTAGAGGAGCTAGCCAGACTAAATCACACTCCCAGTGGCCAGCCCTTCCAATAGTGACTGCTAGCTACAAGGGTCGGATATGGTGCTCTTACCCGGCATATTCACACATGTCACAAGACTTGCGCATACATCCACAGCGATGTTCTAATAATGCATCGTCAATTATGATCAGCTCATCCGCTGCACAAGACAGTCGCATCTTCTCCTCACAGAACGTTTCTGCATCAGTGATAGCATTTTACTTTTAGGCCACACCAGTCCAATTATTGGTTCTCAGATTCATTTAGAAAAATATCATTAGCAACGGGGAGGAAAAAAGGGGAAAGTATTGTACAGTAGATGTACCAGTTTGCTAAAAAAATTGTAGCATGTGTTAATTGAAAACGTGCAAAACTTTTGAAAGTGTAAAAACTGTAAATGGTATTTAAACACACTCATATAACAATTTTTCATGAATTTTTGTACTTATTAATTAATATAGAATACATCAAGCTGCTAGATATATTTTTATATGTCATACTTATTATTACTCTGCAACCACTAGGCTATATCTAGGCTACGTTAATAGTGAGATAATCCCTGGTCAGGTGCGATAACTAAAGAATAATGAGGTGGTTATCGCACCTTACCATCGATTATCTCACCACGTATACCGAGGATAAGGCAAGGCAAGTTATTATCATATAGCCTGTCCAACTGACACCTCAAGATCCGCCTGATCTTTGTGGAACTGAATCAGAGGTACTTTGCCGTCCATTGCCAAAAAAACCTCACATTCTATGTTAGTCTTATTGTGTAAGAATCAGGAGAGAAGAAACAGAAACTTAAGACACTCCTGGTCCCGGGCCAGGGATCGAACCCTCGCCAAACCCGGGCAATAGTTCACACCCCGACGCTCTAACCATTTGTCTAAAAGGTCTAGATCCATCAGACGGATCAGTTGATGCGCCTATAATATACTAAACCCCCAACTGGGGTGTTCATAGGCGCTACCAATTGACCCGGCCAAATTGGGTCTAGACCTTTCAGTCAAATCGTTAGAGCGTCGGCATGTGGACTGGTGCCTCGGTCTGGTTGTGGGTTTGAACCCCGGCATGGGACCAGGGGTCTTTATCTGTTTCTACTTACTCCTCCTGTTTCTTACAGGGGTGTCAAAAATAATATGTTTATTTCTGTTTAAATTACATTTGATTAAAACATAAATCTATTCAATTGTGTTGTATTGTCAAAAAATTATTAAAAATAAACTAAAATACGTTTTTGATTATAGATAAATACTACATAGTCTTCAAAATATTGTGCCCTGTCTCCTGTATAATGGTACAGTCCAAAAAGTGGTCAGTTATTCTACAGCCTGATAACCAATGGCAAATGGAGCCTTCTGATTGGTTGACGTCTTCTGGCTGATAATAATGTACATATTATCATATAGATGATTATACTAAGTCTTACTTTTGTAGCTGGGTGGGGTGGTACCATCAGTGGTCCCAAGGCTGGGTGGGGTGGTACCATCAGTGGTCCCAAGGCTGGGTGGGGTGGTACCATCAGTGGTCCCAAGGCTGGGCGGGGTGGTACCATCAGTGGTCCCAAGGCTGGGCGGGGTGGTACCATCAGTGGTCCCAAGGCTGGGCGGTGTGGTACCATCAGTGGTCCTAAGGCTGGGTGGGGTGGTACCATCAGTGGTCCCAAGGCTGGGTGGGGTGGTACCATCAGTGGTCCCAAGGCTGGGTGGTGTGGCACCATTGATGCCACCAAGGCTGGGTGGGGTGGTACCATTGATACCACCCTTAGTGATCCTGATGGTAGGAACATGTGTCAGTTCTGTTGCATTTGGTGTACCCAAGTTCTTACCTTCTTGCTTAGTCTGGAAAAAACAAGAAGAAAACTAAATGAATGTAAAATTAATGTTTGTACCTATTGTGAACCTGTATTGTACTGTCTGTAGTATATATTCTTGACGTTTAAGTGTCAAGAAAAAGCATAAAATGTTGTATCACTTCTTGTATAATCTTTTGAAATCAGCTGCAGAATTTCAGATTGAAGCTCTAAAGAGAGGTACATGTAGTAACTTATAGGTTTCTTTAATCATGATTTTCTTACATTTTACCTCATTTTATGTTATGGCCCAAAACTTTTTCTGTGCACCTACAATTTTAAATTAGGTTCACCAGTGCACCTATTACCAAATATGAATTTCCAGCCCTGAACTTTTGTTTGCTGTATTGTTGTTCAGTATTCTTCTACTAGTTTGCTTGATAAGAGTAATACATAAATACATAAATGAATGAAACAATATTATGTACATTGTAAGGTCATTCCAATTTAATGAATTGGTTCTTGGAATCGCCAAATCAAATTGGTGTGGCTAAGGTGTAAAATTGAGCCCAGACAAAGATGTTGACCTTACTGTTTGCATGCCTTGGGTGTTGTGGTAGACTCCTGTGATGACTCCTGTGGTGATTGCTCCCACCAGAAGCAGGACAACCACAAAAGCAATGAGAAGGCAACTTCGATTCACTGCAAAACAGCCTTAAGTTTTTTAAAATTCTTTTGTAAACAATTTTTCTTAAAAAAACATATAATATGCATGGCACAGGCACAGTAATGCCATAAGTAACTAGGAAGTTAAGAATCAGACAACATTTTTTTATCAATTTGATAAAATACGCAATTAATGAAAAACTGCACAGAACCCGTAGAAACTTAACAGTAATAAAAACAATGCATAATCATCATCATTGACGTCATAAGAGATAAACAAATATAGCAAAATATAGATAATCCTAAATAACAACGTCTATACACTGAGTTGTAGATATATGAAATTCAAAGTAAATCAAAAGAAGACAAGCAGTTTTCAAAATAGCAAGTTTGATAATAAATACAAATTATCAAGGTACAAAAAATATGGATGAGACATTTAAATATCATCATTTGGGCTCAAAGCATTCACCTTTAACCTGCCGTTACCAGGCTGAAAAATATCAGCAACTTGCAGGCTTAAAAATACATCAAAACTTCCAACTACAAATTGCAGGAGAGAAAAAAAAGTAATTATAAAAATATAAATAATTTCATTAAAAACTAGAGTTCCTCGATCTCATACCTTCGCCAAATGATGTTAATCTTTATGGCTGACAAATTATTGTGCCATTCTATTGTTTCCTCATAAATTATGCAAATAAGGTCCTGATTTGAATATATTATGTTTAATGATGTTTACCTTCACTGAACTTTCACATACCACATGTATAAAAATTCCAGGCAGTCATCATTACAGAATTATAACATTTTCTCATTAATTATGCAAATTATGTCCTCATATACATAATCAATATCTGCCTGTGTTTCCTTCTCAATTACCAATCTCACAAGCTTCAATAGTCTTATCATGGAATGCAGCTGGTTTATAGAATCTCCCCATAAATTATGCAAATCACATCCATATTTGCATAATTGTCATATAATTATATCAAGCATCATGAAAGCTACCTACATACCAAAAATCACGACGATCCGTCAACCGGTTCTTGAGTTATGCTCTTTTTGATATTTTAAAACAGATAGCCCTGCAGTTCCAGAGCAAGCCTCTAGGGGGCGCAAACTGACGTCACTTCTTCCCCAGCACAAGAGCTACCTACCATTTAAATTTCGTCACCCTAGCATGTCTAGATCATGAGATATCAAAACCGGAAGTTCAGCTGCAGTACCATAAGAAGCCGCCAGGGGGCCCAAAATCTAATCAGTTCGAGCTCTCATCAAGACCTACCCACCTACCAAATATCAAGATAATCCATCTAAGCTTTCTTGAGTTATGCTGTTGACAGACAGACAGACAGACAGACACACACACACACACACACACACACACAC